TAGACAGACTCTAATCGCCTTCCTTTCATAATTGCAGGGCATATAGGCTTGAACCTTCGATACACTCCTACGTCTTTTGGTCCAAACACCACATAATTGCCTAAAGTTGTCAATTGTGAAACTGATAATAAATTCTTCTTTATCCCGGGTACATGGTAGACATTGTCGACCTCTACTTGATGTGGACTAAAGCGGGGGACTATAGCGGCCTTTTCGATGTGAAAGATTGGCATCTTGGAGTTGTTTGCAGTCACAACAACTCTTTCTCCCTTATATTCTGACATACTTAAAAACTTTCCTTTGTCTCCAGTCATATGATTTGAGCAGCCAGAATCAACAATCCAATCATCATCATAATTGATTGCTTCACTCACTGTGACCAATGTTGATTCTTCTACTAGCTCATCCATGCATGATGCTACAATCTCTACACCTTCATCCCTCCGAGATTCCTTTACCGCATACGATGCATGGACATCCCATTCTTCTTTGTTCTCGTCCTGCTTAAGTGTGACTGTGTTGCCTTCTTCTTTCCTGGCCCAGCATTCTCGTACATAGTGGCCCTTTTTACCACAGTTGTAACATCGTCCATCCTTGCGCCGATATCTCTTTTGTTCTTCGTAGTCTTTAAATCGGGATTGCGTAGCTCCCCTTTGCTCTGGACCCTTCTTATGTTGGCCTTTCTGCCAACCTTGTCTTCTTTGTGGGCCTTTACTTTCGCTATCTAAATTTGCAGCTGCCTGAACCTCCTTTCGGCCTCCCTTTTTACTAAAACGGGCCTTGTCTTCCTCATTAATTGATACTTTAGACATTTGATTGTCTAAAGCTTCTTGATTTGCCAAAATACTTTCTAACTCTGTTAAGGTGGGTTCTTTGGCCCAACCTCTAATGGCGGTAATAATCCCATTATATTTTGGATTTAATCCAAAAATTATTATTCTCCTCATCCTCGTCTCAGAAATTACATTCTGAGGATCTAATTTTGCAATCTCATTGCAAATTGATTTAACCTTAGTAAAATACTGACTTATCGCCATGTCACCTTGTCTTAGTGACATCAACTTGTTTTCTAACAGCTGCAACTTAGCATCATTCTTCTTTGTGAATAGTGTTTCTAATGTATCCCACGCCTCCTTCGATGTCGTTAGGTCCTTGATCCGCTGCAAGAACTCATCCTCCACGGAGATCGACAACACGTACAAAGCTTTTCCACATCGAACCTTCCATTTCTTTAGATTTTCTTCATCGGTTGGTGGGGTCGTCTCCGCACCACGAACAATGCTCCAAAGATCTTGCCCGAGCAAATAATATTTCATCCGAACGCTCCACGTGTCATAATTGCTGTTGTTGAGCCTCTCCAGTGAGCTAGTTGAGGATACGAGATCTGCCATGATGATTGGTTAGCGCCCAACACTCAAACAATTTACTATGATCCTGATGATCAACAACTATTACAGTCCCAGACTGTATTCCTGCAGAATCTCCTTCACACAGTCCTTAATCACAACTTCTACCAACGTACTAGCTCGAGCAAACTAATTCCTGCTCTCGACCGAACCAGCTCTCATGCCAAATGTTGAAAAAATAGGAGGCTAATTTTATTAATATACAAGACCAAATACAAAAAATATTGGTGCCCAGCACCTCTAATGATTTTACACTAATACAACACACCCACTTACTTACTCACACACACTCTTCACAATACTATTTATATTTTGGTGACACACACACTCAATATATATTCCTCACTTCTCACAAATACACTCACGTCACTCTCACTCACTACTTACTGTGTTTCTTTTCCACTATACACATAAGCATGATCACTATCCTATATATAGTTTCCCAATGTCGGTTTGGAAGCTTGCTGGAAGCTCTAGATATTTCTTCATAATTAATGACTCTAGATATTTCTAATTGCTTAAAAATATAACTTTCTAGTTGTTTCTATTTGTCAGGCGGTGATGAAGGAATAATCTAGAATAATAATTGCTTAAAAATATAGCTTTCTAATTGCTTAAAAATATAGCTTTCTCTCAACTATTATGGCTATTTAAAATTAAGAACATTATCTCTAAAATAAAAATACGTATAAAATAAAATCACAAAATTCTAAAACGAGAGAGTAGGGACATTCGCAGGAGCGCACAATATAGTGGCACACTCGTGCTAGGTGCAACATTTTTAGTCTTCCCAATGCGTTGATATGAATGGGCGTAAAAATTCTATTATATTGTTTTTGTGTTAATTGAAGTTTCAATTAACTATTTTAGTATTTTAGTGTTGTGTATTGATATGATACTAATTCGTGGTTTGAGTATAAATTCATGATTTCTTAATTCCAAAATTATATTTGTTATGTGCTGAATTTACTATTGAACTGGTTCAATATTTTAGATTTGCTTAGTGATCTATTTTACTTGCTCTATGATTTCGTTTACTAATTTTCGTGATGACTTGGGATTGTTTAGAAAAAGAAAGAAAAATACAAAGGGCAAAAGAATACAAAAGAAAGAAAAAAGAAACAAAAGAATAGAAATGAAAAAGAAATAAAAGAATCAAAAGAAAGAATTCAATAAATAAATACTTAAATTAAAATAATTAGAAATAAAAAAATATCTTATATTAAAATAAATTAGAGAACTCATCATAAATAATTAGACTAGATTTTGGACCCAATCTGAAGACTAATTCAAAATAGGAAAATAGTGAGAGTTAGGTTTCATGCGCTCATTTTGAAAACTTAGAGCAGACATGAGGAGAATTGAAGGAGGTTGTGGGAGAAAGCACAAATTGATGGTAGAAGCTATCGAATGGATATCTCTTCTAGAGACTCATCACTCCAGCTAGGGGGAAGGAAATTATCAAGTCCTAAGAATATATGAGGGATAAGGGTAGAAATGAAAAAAGGGAAAAGACTTTTACTTTGGTCCTAACTTTTTCTAGTACCAAAAGGATGAGTGATTAAGTTTTTAAAGTTTTTAAATTTATGTTTTTCATCCTTCAAACTCTATTGCTTCAGCCCAAGGGAAGTTTATTTTTATGAAGTTTATACTTACATATATTTTCATGATCTCATATAACTATGCTTTGATACATATACCTTATAAAGTTTTATATATGCTCTGATATATATATATATATATATATATATATGTGTCTGTCTGTGTATGTGTTTACGACATAAAGCATTTAGTTTGATAGCATATTAGATGGACAAAATAAAAATGGACCATGTATTTGAAGGGTACTTTTAAATAATTAAGAGTTAACATCTCTCTATATGTATAAGAATTTATTTTTACGTTATTTTTAATTTACTATTTCATATATAATTTAATATTTAAAATATTTAATTATTACTAACTTAAATGTAAATAAATTAACTTATATTTCACAAACTTATTTTATCAACTTAAAGTAATATTTAGAAATTTTCATTCAACAGTACATATAATATAATATTTATGAATTATAATTAAAAATGATAATTAAAAAAATATTTCAAATTATTTTTTAATTATCATTTTCTATATTTTATTTACATTTAAAAAATTAATGACACTTATTTTCATTTGACCATGCATGTAATAAACATAAAATAGTTAACAATAATCAGATATCAGGGACTAAAAACAACAATGATAACAATTTCAATTTTAGATGGATGAAAAAAAATGATAAAAAGTAAAACTAATAGTAGCTCATATTTTTTATCGTTAAAAAATATAAAAAAAATAAATACATGAACAAAATCATATTTAAACTCAAATAAATTTATATCATCTTTTTCCTATTTCTTTATTTTGTTTTATTTTTGTATGTTCTTTCGTTATTGAACTTAAAGTGGTGTGATTTTTCTTCCAAACACTGCTCCTAAAAAATAGTTTTAGTCTTTAACTATTTGCTCACTCACTCGCTGTATATTCATGGTGGAAAAAAATTTCTAACACCGGAATTAACACAGAAGTGACTGCACACGATTATGGTTGATCACATCGCCCAATTGGCAATTATATATATATAGATGTATATCTGTCGATCTTTTTGTCTTTCATTCCATTTCCATGTACTTTTATTTTATTTCTATTCATTTTTCATTGCATCAAATTCTTTGAGAACAGATTTTCTCTATATATTAAGAAGAAACTCGTTAGAATCACTAATATATGTTTTGCAATCGTTTGAAATATTCAGCTTATAATCTTTGACTAATTTGTTTACAAAAAAGCGACATTTTATAAACACGAATTTTAAGCTTATGATTAAAATAATTGATAATTCACTAGAGTAAACAGTGATTGGAGAGGAAAGAGTTGAGATAAAAGCGGAAGGACCTGATTCAATCTTCATAACACATTTTTATAATCTCATATAGATAAAAATAAATTGACAGTTTATTGTTTTAGATTAAAAAAAAAACAACAATAAACTAACTTTTTGGGATAATTGACAGTTGATACATAGAAGTACATACGTATATATATTTGATAGATAGAAGTACATAGATTAATGATGTAACCAAGCACACTGTTTCATGAAGAAAAATATCAGCAAGGTTTAGGGACTTGAAACAAGTTGAAAAAAACTATATATGATTTAATTTTAATCTGATAATGACCAACCAAGCCTTTGCAAGTTTATATGCGTGAGATGACACAATCAAAATGTGAGTTTATAGAAAATAAAAGTGAAGCCAGTTATAGTTAACTGATAATTTTATAAATTTGAGAAAATTAATATTGTTGTTTGTTGAATACTGGCTTGCAATTAACTAATACGGAAGGTAATTATTAATTGTATCTTTCTCCAAGTAGGATCAATGTCAGGGCTTAAAGTTCTATGGTTGACAAAAAAAAACAAAAAAAACTAATAACATTTATTTTTTGCCTAGTGTTTCCGAAGCGTTGACATGAAAGGATATATGAAAGCTCAAGATTGAGCATATGCTGTAGATTCTTTAGTCGATTCTTTTTACTCTGGATGTATTAATCATTGGGAAGGGTGAGATATTGTGTTATATATATGTGTAGTTTCACTCAACGCCACAGTGTATTTCTTCATACCCAACACTTCCACTTCTATACTCCTTCAGTCTTTGACAAGTAGGTTTGTTCTCTATCTCTCTTGGTAAGTTGGAAAATTCTGTAGTGCATTTTGGTTATGCATGGAATTTGAAAGAGTTTTTACTTTCTATCTCAATGGAAGATCTTCCCTTGTAGGAGGCTCCACTTCTTTAGGTGCCAGGGAGGAGCACATTTTCTAGTTATAATAATGATAAGAAAGAAGAATTTGCTCTAATGAACATTACTAATAGATAATTTTATCTTTTAAAAATGTGATCATTTGTTAGGAGTTTAACTTCTAAATCTTAGACTCTAAACTCTTAATATGGTACGTACGAAAAAATATTTATTGAATTTCTAGTTATCATAATGATAACACACCATAAATCATTTTAACTAACATGATTGATAGTTAATTTTGTCTTTTAAAATGTGATAATTTGATTCTAAATTCTAAACTTCTAATATGTAATTATGAAAAAGTATTTATTAAAAAAATCAGTTCGTAAATAAATCTCAATATCATGATGAATTAGTTCTTAATATCTTGATTTATTAAAATTACTCCACCATTGAATATTGAGTTTCTTTACCACTCCGAGGATGCTATTTTGATGATTATTTTTTCATGCACTCTCCACAACACATTACATTACTGTCGTCTCTGGACTTTACATCAGTGCAGTTACACACTTTGCCTGCTACTAGCGCAGTTCTCCTAGAAGTGAAACAAATGTAAACAAACAATTAAAAAAAAGAAGGTCTCTTGTACCTTTGTCTTTTTTTGTATTTTCATTTCATTATTTTTCTTTCTCTTATCTTCACCAGTTTATCATAAAGTGATTTCATCATTAGGGTTTTGTTTTTCGTGAACAAAATGCCTCGACCACATATCAAACTTTTTGAGAAGCTAGCTGCACATATTATGGCAGAGCTTTTGACAATCAGTATAGTATTTTAATTTCAAAGTAACAATAGTTTATGCATATCTTACATCAACCTCACAGAAGTCAAAAGTGACGGCTCATGTTAATTTCTTACACAAGTCAATTGTACTTGTTCCTCGATCGTGTTCTATTATATTAATTGAGAAGAGTTGTCAAACTGCTTTATTTTATTCCTTCACCATTATAAATGAGAATTAATTGAAAACTAATAAGCTCCATATAATTATCAGAAATCCCAAATTTCTATATCATTTTCATTCATAAATTAGTAAAAATAAAGGATAAAAGAATATTGCATTGCATGCTTATGTTACGATTATTGGACTCGTTGGGAGATATATATAGTTAGAAGACAGAACATATGTACCGAACAATCTTTAGTGATGGTCTTAAAAAGTTATTACTATCTCATATCCTAAAAATAAGAGGAAAAATATGAATTTATAAATTATACAAAATTTTCATTAATACGAGACATTTCAAATGATAAATAAAAGTAAATTTATAAAATTTACATTTAAAGTAGATAATATTATATTAATATAAAAATATGTGTGTCCTTTATTATCAAACTCTAAAATCAAACATATAAAAAACATTTTTGAGAAAAATCAACAAATATAGATATAAAGGAGAATAAAACCTAATTTGATGTAATTGATTTATGAATTCAATTTTGCATATTTTAAAAGTATTTACAACAAGTATTTAAGTACTAAAGCTTCCAAATCTCTAATTGAATAAAACAAAAATTGATTAAATCAACAAATAAGTATCATTTGTCTTAAGCTACAACTTATTTTTACTGACATAAAAAACTTTTTAGTCAGACTTACGCATAGAGTTTAAAATAATCTATTTATGATTGTTGGAAAAAATCTCAAACTTCCAACACAAATGTTGTTAAACTTATCTCTTGTACTTGTGCAGGAAGCTTAGTCTCTAGCTTGGTAACAGAACGTAGTAATGGCTGGACAACTTGGAGTGCTGAATGCACTTGATGTGGCCAAGACACAATGGTACCACTTCACTGCAATTGTTATAGCTGGAATGGGTTTCTTCACTGATGCCTATGATCTTTTCTGCATTTCCCTTGTCACCAAGCTTTTGGGGAGGATATATTACACACAGCCAGGTGCAGCAAAGCCAGGAACTCTTCCTCCAAGAGTTCAATCTTCTGTGACAGGTGTGGCACTATGTGGCACATTAGCTGGCCAACTATTCTTTGGTTGGCTTGGTGACAAAATGGGAAGGAAAAAGGTCTATGGCTTAACTCTTGTCCTCATGGTAGTGTGCTCCATTGCCTCAGGGCTCTCCTTTGGATCAACTCCAAAGGGTGTCATGGCAACACTTTGTTTCTTCAGGTTCTGGCTAGGGTTTGGGATCGGTGGTGACTACCCTCTTTCTGCCACAATCATGTCTGAATACGCCAACAAGAAGACTCGTGGGGCGTTCATAGCAGCAGTGTTTGCCATGCAAGGATTTGGAATCTTGGCTGGTGGAGTAGTTGCCTTGGTTGTTTCATATGCATATGACCAAAAGTACAAGGTTCCTACTTATGAACAAGATCCAGAAGCATCCTTGGTGCCTGCATTTGACTATGTTTGGAGAATAGTTTTGATGTGTGGTGCAGTACCAGCAGCACTCACCTACTACTGGCGCATGAAAATGCCAGAGACTGCACGTTACACAGCCCTTGTGGCCAAGAATGCAAAACAAGCTGCTGCAGACATGTCCAAGGTGTTACAAGTGGAACTTGAAGCTGAAGAGGAAAAGGTGAAGGAATTAACAGAGAATGAGGGCAACAAGTATGGTTTGTTCAGCAAGGAGTTTGTGAAACGCCATGGTTTGCATTTGGTTGGAACCACCACCACTTGGTTCCTTTTGGTTTTATTTTGTCCATCTAATATGCTATCAAACTAAATGCTTTATGTCGTAAACACATACACAGACAGACACATATATATATATATATATATATATATATCAGAGCATATATAAAACTTTATAAGGTATATGTATCAAAGCATAGTTATATGAGATCATGAAAATATATGTAAGTATAAACTTCATAAAAATAAACTTCCCTTGGGCTGAAGCAATAGAGTTTGAAGGATGAAAAACATAAATTTAAAAACTTTAAAAACTTAATCACTCATCCTTTTGGTACTAGAAAAAGTTAGGACCAAAGTAAAAGTCTTTTCCCTTTTTTCATTTCTACCCTTATCCCTCATATATTCTTAGGACTTGATAATTTCCTTCCCCCTAGCTGGAGTGATGAGTCTCTAGAAGAGATATCCATTCGATAGCTTCTACCATCAATTTGTGCTTTCTCCCACAACCTCCTTCAATTCTCCTCATGTCTGCTCTAAGTTTTCAAAATGAGCGCATGAAACCTAACTCTCACTATTTTCCTATTTTGAATTAGTCTTCAGATTGGGTCCAAAATCTAGTCTAATTATTTATGATGAGTTCTCTAATTTATTTTAATATAAGATATTTTTTTATTTCTAATTATTTTAATTTAAGTATTTATTTATTGAATTCTTTCTTTTGATTCTTTTATTTCTTTTTCATTTCTATTCTTTTGTTTCTTTTTTCTTTCTTTTGTATTCTTTTGCCCTTTGTATTTTTCTTTCTTTTTCTAAACAATCCCAAGTCATCACGAAAATTAGTAAACGAAATCATAGAGCAAGTAAAATAGATCACTAAGCAAATCTAAAATATTGAACCAGTTCAATAGTAAATTCAGCACATAACAAATATAATTTTGGAATTAAGAAATCATGAATTTATACTCAAACCACGAATTAGTATCATATCAATACACAACACTAAAATACTAAAATAGTTAATTGAAACTTCAATTAACACAAAAACAATATAATAGAATTTTTACGCCCATTCATATCAACGCATTGGGAAGACTAAAAATGTTGCACCTAGCACGAGTGTGCCACTATATTGTGCGCTCCTGCGAATGTCCCTACTCTCTCGTTTTAGAATTTTGTGATTTTATTTTATACGTATTTTTATTTTAGAGATAATGTTCTTAATTTTAAATAGCCATAATAGTTGAGAGAAAGCTATATTTTTAAGCAATTAGAAAGCTATATTTTTAAGCAATTATTATTCTAGATTATTCCTTCATCACCGCCTGACAAATAGAAACAACTAGAAAGTTATATTTTTAAGCAATTAGAAATATCTAGAGTCATTAATTATGAAGAAATATCTAGAGCTTCCAGCAAGCTTCCAAACCGACATTGGGAAACTATATATAGGATAGTGATCATGCTTATGTGTATAGTGGAAAAGAAACACAGTAAGTAGTGAGTGAGAGTGACGTGAGTGTATTTGTGAGAAGTGAGGAATATATATTGAGTGTGTGTGTCACCAAAATATAAATAGTATTGTGAAGAGTGTGTGTGAGTAAGTAAGTGGGTGTGTTGTATTAGTGTAAAATCATTAGAGGTGCTGGGCACCAATATTTTTTGTATTTGGTCTTGTATATTAATAAAATTAGCCTCCTATTTTTTCAACATTTGGCATGAGAGCTGGTTCGGTCGAGAGCAGGAATTAGTTTGCTCGAGCTAGTACGTTGGTAGAAGTTGTGATTAAGGACTGTGTGAAGGAGATTCTGCAGGAATACAGTCTGGGACTGTAATAGTTGTTGATCATCAGGATCATAGTAAATTGTTTGAGTGTTGGGCGCTAACCAATCATCATGGCAGATCTCGTATCCTCAACTAGCTCACTGGAGAGGCTCAACAACAGCAATTATGACACGTGGAGCGTTCGGATGAAATATTATTTGCTCGGGCAAGATCTTTGGAGCATTGTTCGTGGTGCGGAGACGACCCCACCAACCGATGAAGAAAATCTAAAGAAATGGAAGGTTCGATGTGGAAAAGCTTTGTACGTGTTGTCGATCTCCGTGGAGGATGAGTTCTTGCAGCGGATCAAGGACCTAACGACATCGAAGGAGGCGTGGGATACATTAGAAACACTATTCACAAAGAAGAATGATGCTAAGTTGCAGCTGTTAGAAAACAAGTTGATGTCACTAAGACAAGGTGACATGGCGATAAGTCAGTATTTTACTAAGGTTAAATCAATTTGCAATGAGATTGCAAAATTAGATCCTCAGAATGTAATTTCTGAGACGAGGATGAGGAGAATAATAATTTTTGGATTAAATCCAAAATATAATGGGATTATTACCGCCATTAGAGGTTGGGCCAAAGAACCCACCTTAACAGAGTTAGAAAGTATTTTGGCAAATCAAGAAGCTTTAGACAATCAAATGTCTAAAGTATCAATTAATGAGGAAGACAAGGCCCGTTTTAGTAAAAAGGGAGGCCGAAAGGAGGTTCAGGCAGCTGCAAATTTAGATAGCGAAAGTAAAGGCCCACAAAGAAGACAAGGTTGGCAGAAAGGCCAACATAAGAAGGGTCCAGAGCAAAGGGGAGCTACGCAATCCCGATTTAAAGACTACGAAGAACAAAAGAGATATCGGCGCAAGGATGGACGATGTTACAACTGTGGTAAAAAGGGCCACTATGTACGAGAATGCTGGGCCAGGAAAGAAGAAGGCAACACAGTCACACTTAAGCAGGACGAGAACAAAGAAGAATGGGATGTCCATGCATCGTATGCGGTAAAGGAATCTCGGAGGGATGAAGGTGTAGAGATTGTAGCATCATGCATGGATGAGCTAGTAGAAGAATCAACATTGGTCACAGTGAGTGAAGCAATCAATTATGATGATGATTGGATTGTTGATTCTGGCTGCTCAAATCATATGACTGGAGACAAAGGAAAGTTTTTAAGTATGTCAGAATATAAGGGAGAAAGAGTTGTTGTGACTGCAAACAACTCCAAGATGCCAATCTTTCACATCGAAAAGGCCGCTATAGTCCCCCGCTTTAGTCCACATCAAGTAGAGGTCGACAATGTCTACCATGTACCCGGGATAAAGAAGAATTTATTATCAGTTTCACAATTGACAACTTTAGGCAATTATGTGGTGTTTGGACCAAAAGACGTAGGAGTGTATCGAAGGTTCAAGCCTATATGCCCTGCAATTATGAAAGGAAGGCGATTAGAGTCTGTCTATGTAATGTCAGCACAAGAGGCATACGTGAACAAGGCAAGGAAGAATGAGACAGCAGATCTTTGGCACGCGAGACTTGAACACGTGAGCTATAATCGATTTAAAGCAATGATGAAATAGTCTATGCTAAAAGGCTTACCAAACTTGGAGATGCGAGAGAATGTCGTTTGCGCTGGATGTCAATATGGGAAAGCTCACGAGCTTCCATATGAAGAGTCAAAATACAAGGCCAAGGCACCATTGGAACTGGTGCACTCTGATGTGTTTGGACCGGTGAACGAAGCCTAGTCTTACCTGGGATAATCTGTTGATGACGTAAGCAGCGGTCTTCATGCACTCCGCCCAAAATCTTGGTGGTACATTTTTACTGTGTAACATGCTCCTGGATGTCTCTACCAGCGGTGCTTATTTTTTCTCTCCGCGATTCCGTTTTGTTGTGGGATGTTCAGGCATGTCAACTGCCTCCTTATGCCACATTTTTGCAAGTACTGCTTGAACTCCTTTGATGTATATTCTCCCCCGTTGTCCGTATGCAAGCACCGTATCATACGTCCAACCTCTTTCTCAATATTTTATTTGAACTCTATAAACTTCTTTAGTGCTTCAGTTTTTTCCTTCATAAAGTCTACCCACACGTACCTGGAATAGTCATCGATAATTGTGATCATATATTTATTCCTACTGATCGATAGCTGCTTCACCGGTCCAAACACATCAGAGTGCACCAGTTCCAATGGTGCCTTGGCCTTGTATTTTGACTCTTCATATGGAAGCTCGTGAGCTTTCCCATATTGACATCCAGCGCAAACGACATTCTCTCGCATCTCCAAGTTTGGTAAGCCTTTTAGCATAGACTATTTCATCATTGCTTTAAATCGATTATAGCTCACGTGTTCAAGTCTCGCGTGCCAAAGATCTGCTGTCTCATTCTTCCTTGCCTTGTTCACGTATGCCTCTTGTGCTGACATTACATAGACAGACTCTAATCGCCTTCCTTTCATAATTGCAGGGCATATAGGCTTGAACCTTCGATACACTCCTACGTCTTTTGGTCCAAACACCACATAATTGCCTAAAGTTGTCAATTGTGAAACTGATAATAAATTCTTCTTTATCCCGGGTACATGGTAGACATTGTCGACCTCTACTTGATGTGGACTAAAGCGGGGGACTATAGCGGCCTTTTCGATGTGAAAGATTGGCATCTTGGAGTTGTTTGCAGTCACAACAACTCTTTCTCCCTTATATTCTGACATACTTAAAAACTTTCCTTTGTCTCCAGTCATATGATTTGAGCAGCCAGAATCAACAATCCAATCATCATCATAATTGATTGCTTCACTCACTGTGACCAATGTTGATTCTTCTACTAGCTCATCCATGCATGATGCTACAATCTCTACACCTTCATCCCTCCGAGATTCCTTTACCGCATACGATGCATGGACATCCCATTCTTCTTTGTTCTCGTCCTGCTTAAGTGTGACTGTGTTGCCTTCTTCTTTCCTGGCCCAGCATTCTCGTACATAGTGGCCCTTTTTACCACAGTTGTAACATCGTCCATCCTTGCGCCGATATCTCTTTTGTTCTTCGTAGTCTTTAAATCGGGATTGCGTAGCTCCCCTTTGCTCTGGACCCTTCTTATGTTGGCCTTTCTGCCAACCTTGTCTTCTTTGTGGGCCTTTACTTTCGCTATCTAAATTTGCAGCTGCCTGAACCTCCTTTCGGCCTCCCTTTTTACTAAAACGGGCCTTGTCTTCCTCATTAATTGATACTTTAGACATTTGATTGTCTAAAGCTTCTTGAT